GCGTGGGCCTCGCCGCCGCGCATCGGCGATGCGCGCCGTTGACCTGTGCAGCAAGGCGCTGCGCTATATGTTCGACAAGGATACCATAAGGAAGCGCACGAGGGGGACGCCCACGCGCATTACTGCGATGGGGGGGGGGGGGGCGCCCCCGTATCATCGGGACGTGCGCAAGTAGCGCTGCGCACGCCAAAAAAAACTGGAAGTCTGCTCATGAACTGGCAACCGCCACAAGCCGCTCGCCGAACGCCTGCCACCGCTGACGCACTACAAGAACCCCTCAGTAATCCGTTTTGCCGTCGCATTCGGCTCCTCCTGGCGCTCGGGACCGCTCGCAACGCTAAAAGTCGAAGCCGCGGCGGCGCCCCTCATCTTGGACATGTTGCTGGCGATTATATTGGGGCCCTCTCTGACCGCTTCGAAGGCCGAAAGCAATGAGCAACATGCAAGATGAACCGCATAATCCAATACTGGACATTCTTCACTATTACGTAATCCCCCTGTTTTGCATCAAATCCCTTTTGCATTCTCTTAAGTATCTTCTTCCCCCGCAGGGCACCTCCCTCCGCCATGTATCCTTCTTCCTTTTCTTCTGTCCTATCCTTCCTCCGTATTTCCCGCCCTCCTTGTGTCGTCCTTCCTTCTTCCCTCCTTGCTGGCCCTTCTCATCGCTTTTTATGATGTTTTCCCCCATCCTTCCTTTCTTTCCTCATTGATGCGTTCCCCAACCCCTTTCAACAAAGATGCCCGTCTCCGCCGTCGGGAACGAGCCGACCTCCTGGGCGATCTGGGTCGTCATGGCCTCGAACCCTCCAGGCGGCACACCTGGAGCTACACCATGCCAGTTCGCCCACTTCTGCCGTTCCTCGCTGGGCTGCAGTTCATTCAGAGTTCGTTCAGAGTCTGGTCAGACAAGTAACCACAATGATAGAGAGAGATATAAAGAGGGAAGGGGACAAGAGACAACACCTAACACAACACAAGAAAATACACATGGTAAAACAGAAAACGAATGAGTTCATAAACCCTAATCTCCTTCATCACCCCAGCGAGGGCGCCGCGCTTGCTCTCGAATCCAAAACTGACGCCGTCCTGGTAGCCCTGCGCGTAGGCACTGTGCCGCACCGCAGATTCGCTGGACGCCCGCGCTTTTTGTCACCACTGCCGTTGTTGCACCCATTGCTGAGCCCGTTGTTGCTGCATCTGCTGGGGTCGCTGCATCTGCGGAGGCTGCCGCCGCCGCTGCATCTGCCGCTGCTGCCACCCCCGCGGCAACTGAAGCTGAGGCTGCAGTTGTTTCGGGCGCTTCCTTTCCGGGGGGCTCGGAGTCTCTGGGGCCCTTGGCAAGCCCTGAGCCTCGAGGTCAACTGGCGGCGGCGCGGGCGGCGCTGGCACAGGCACTGGTGGCAGCGCCTCTGCTCGGCCGCCACGCTGCGCATTTGGCAGAACCCAAGTTGACGTTGGCCGCGCCAGCACTGGGGGTGGCGGCGCTGGGGGCGCTGGCGGAAACTGCGGAACTGCCCAGTGCAGCTCACCGCGCGGCTGCCCTAACTCTGGTTGCAGTGGCGGGTGCTGCGGGAATGTTGGCTGCAACTCCACAATCCGCCGCGCTGAGTGTAGTCCTGGTGGTGGCGGATGCAGCGGGGGCTTCGGCTGCCACTGATCGTGCGGGCGCGCTTTCTCTGGTCGAGGTGCCTGTTGTCTCCGAGGCGATGGCTGCACCGATGGTGGCCTGTGGCAAGGCGGTCTCTTTGTTCGCATCGGCTGTCGCTGCGGAGCTACTGACTGGGGTTGGGGTGTCTGCTGCTGCGCAAGCGCTAGCTGTGGCTCCGAGTGCGGCTGTGGCGTCGCTGTCTGCGGCTGCGCCGCACAAGTGTTCCTGTTCCCATCCGCTGCAGACGACGTCCACGGGCCCCAGGTCTCATCATCATCGGCGGCAGCAGCATGCGGCAGAAGCGCTTGCACATCGGCAACGGCTGCCGAAGCCGACGCCGACGCGGGGCCCAGCGCCGCCTCATCACCCATGCGTCGCTACTCCCGCGGGGGCCGACAACAGGCGCTCCTCATGGGCATCGCAGTGGAGCCGCAACGGTTTCGGCATTGGGGAGTTCTGAAGGAGGACGCGGGTCGGGCATGGCATCGCGACACCTCAGCGCTCGTCGTTGAGTAGACAAAAAAACGCACGTTTTTTTTTGTTTTTGGCACTGGTGTCGCAGAGTCTACCGCCGATCGCCGAGACCTCCGCACGCTGCGAGATCATTCTCGCCCCCCCCCCCCCCCCCCCACGCGCACACACACACCACACACACACACACACGCACACACGCACGCACGCACGCACGCACGCACGCACGCACGCACGCACGCACGCACGCACGCACGCACGCACGCACACACACACACACACACACACACACACACACACACACACACACACACACACACACACACACACACACACACACACACACGCACACACGCGCACACGCACGCGCACACGCACGCGCGCGCACCCAGGACCCATGGGCGAAGATCACTCTCCAACGCAGGCCGCGAGACGCGACTATCCAGGCGCAACCTTCGAGTGGACTGCGGGGACGAACATGCCGTCGGTATTTGAAGCCAGCACAACACTGGAACAATCCTGGACGGCCGTTGGGGTGTGGACTTCTTTTGGGATTGATCCTCACCCTGTCCACACTCTCCCACGGGCCTCCAGAGACACGGCCTTCCAGGAGGCATTCGCGCTGGCGGGGAAAAGCCGCGCGTGGTTTTTTATTAGCCAGCACGTTATTCCGTGCACGCGTGGGCCTCGCCGCCGTCCATCGGCGAAGTGCGACGTTGACCCGTGCCGCAAGACGATGCACTATATGTTCGACAAGGATACAATCAGGAAGCATACGAGGGGGGCGCCCGTACGTATTCCTGCGATGTGGGGGGGCGCCCCTGTATCATCTGGATGTGCAACAGTGACGCTGCACACGCGAAAAAAATGGAAATCTGCTCGTGGAGTGGCAACAGCCACCAGCCACTGGCCGGACGCCTGCCACCGCTGACGCGCTATAAGAACCCCCACTAATCCGCTCTGCCGTCGCCATCGCCCCCCCCCCCCCCCCCCCCATGACCCATGAAAAAGATCACTCTCCAACGCAGGCCGCGAGGCGCGATCATCCTGGCGCAGCCTTGGAGTGGACTGCGGGGGCGACCCTGCCATCGGTATTTGAGGCCACAGCAAAACTGGAACAAACTGCAAGAAACACATGGTTTTCCTGAGGCGCGGGAAAGGGAGCCTCGTTGCCAAAGGAGCAGCCGCCGCGCGAAACGTGCCCTTCCTCGCGCCCTTGGAACAGCCGCGTGCAAAACACATTGCCATCCCAGACCGCAAGACACGATTCTCGTGGAGCAACTTTGGATAGATTGCGGAACAGCCGCTGGCATCGAAACTGCATGTCACAGTGACACCCGAGCATCCCAACGAAACTCGCATGAACGGTCTTGTCCGAGGAAGCCCTGGCTGCCAAAGGATCTTGCGCCGAACGAGCGTGACCTTCCTCAAGCCCCTGCCACGACCGCATAAAAAATGCACACTCACCACCAGACCGCAAAGCGCGATTATCCTCACACGACCATTGGGTTTGGATGTTTTTTTTGATCTGGTCTCGATCTTTCCAAAGCCTCCAACGCGCCTCCGAGGATGAAACCCTCCAAGAGGCACCACCGTTGGTCCGGAAGACGAACAATTGGCTTCAAAACCTCCACCCTGCGCGGTGGGACGTCCGCGCGCTGCGGGATCCTCCTCGCAGGGCTTTCGTCGGAGTCCTCCTACTATGTTGCGGCTCGAAGGAACAGAATCTGCATCACTAATCGCTCCTCCTTTTCTGAACCACCTCATGCCTCCTCCTGTCACCATACTTGCGTCGCAGCAGCTCAACTCGCCGTTGTTGATTCCGTACACGCGTGAGCCTCGCCGCAATGCGTCAGCGACGTCCGATCCGTACCTGTGCTTCAAAGACGTTGCACAATATCTTCGGGAAAGACACCCACGAGCCAATTCTTGAGCCCAAAAGCGCGTTGTCGAATGGCACCGCGCAGTGCCACCTCTGTGCACGCATGCCTGCCCATGTCATGTCTGCGTGTGTGAACAATATACGATTGCATGTTCTGTATATATACACATATGTTTATGTGTATATATATATGATCAGTAGTACCTACAAACGTACAAAGTTGCTTAGGGTGGACATGATGCGAGGCCGGAGCAAGCAACGGCAACTTAGCGCGGCGACATGGGGGGGCAGTGCACAAGATAAAGGCCCCGCGCGAGATAGCGAGAGCCAGGTTGTTAATGCTGCACGACCCCCCCCCCACCCAAGACCTTCCCAAATATCCCAAGGGGTCGGCGGTGTGGCGTAACCCCATGAATAAGGCCCTGGGCAAAGGGTCGGGACCTGCGGTGAACCTGTTTTGAAAAACAATACGACGGATCTCCCGATTCAATCCTGGCGTATGATTCCTCGATTTCGGCGCCCCGGCCCGTTTTTGGTGGCCTCCCTGCGCGCGAAGGCGACCCCCGCGGAGGCCTAAACGAAGGGGAATAAACGAGACTGAAAAATCAGATCGTCGGCGGCATGGGACCCTCGATCCTCGAACCTCGAAGCACTCGATTCTCTGTCGATGATCGCCCATCGGTCGACCGACCCCAGGTAGAGAAGCCAAGAGATACTGATACATACCACTACTCCCCGGGCCTCTAAAATAGTGAGTTCAGACCAGGATTCCGAGGCGAATCCAACCGTGGCGACGGGGACCTCTCAGGAGGCCCAAAAAGGCGAAAACGAGAGAAGGGCAGCGGCATCGGCACCTCTCCCCTCTCCCTCCTTCGACAGGACCCTCGAACCCCGATCGATCGATACTCGCTCGAACGTCGATCGAACGTCGGCCGACCCATCGACCGCTCGGCGGCGCGGGCGCGCGCCCGTCAGAGGGGGCGCCGAGGCCGCGGCGCAGAGGGTCAGCAGCTCGAGCGGGAGGCCGTCATCCTCGCCGCCCCCGCGGGGGGACGGCGTTGAGAGGAGGGGGAGAGGGGGGAGGAGGGGGAGGAGGAGGAGGAGGAGGAGGAGGAGGAGGAGGAGGAGGAGGAGGAGGAGGAGGAGGAGGAGGAGGAGGAGGAGGCAGCGGCCCGCACCGCTTCAGAGATTTGTCGGAGGCGTGTTGGGGTAGGCGGGAGCCTGGGGCCAACGCGAGCAATCCTGTGGATTGTGGATATGAAAAGCTGCGACCGCTCTCCTGATGCCCGTGGGGGAGGGGTCTAACAGGGCGAGTTTGGCAGCTGTGCGCTCTGGTTGGGGTCCCCTCATGGTCAAAGACCAGCACTTATTAAAGTGAGCACATGTGTGGTAATGTCTCACATCATCCCATGCGCTGCACCCGAAGACGCAAGTGTGCGATTATTGCTGGAGCCGGTGTTCGGTGGTCCAGTTCCCGCACCACGTGCGGAGACATGCGAAAGCCCATGCAACAGGGACCTTGAGGAGCTGAGCTTTGAGGGCCTCCCCGGGGAAGACAAAATCGTGCGGCAGCTCTCCAAGCGAGGCGCACCATTTTCGGGAACGGGCGGAGAGGAGCGAGGCGAACTCGTCGGGGAAGAGCGAGGAGGCGAGGGAGCGGTAGAGGTGGGATTGAAGACGGACCCTTGGTGTGTCCCTCATCGCCTGTCGCACGCTCTGCACGGCCAGGGCGACGCTGGTGGCTATGCGCCGCTTGGCAGAGAATCCCGCTAGAGCGGTCTCACATGTACGCACTATTGGGGGCGAGCGCCAAAACTCATGGGAGATCCATCCGCCCTCCCGGAACGCGCGTGTCACCGAGAGCTCACGTTCAGCGTAAAAAGGCAAGCCGAGCTAGGAACGCTCGCCACCCAGGGAAGGCTTTCAGAGCGGAGCGGAGGAGGATGGCGAGGGAGAGGGCAAAGAGGCTTTGAATTTGAGGCCCGCCCCAGAGCTGGAGGGCAGTCCAGTCCTCCTGCCGCCATGGTGAGCCTGGGAGGCGAAGAAGCCTGGTGGGGACATTGAGCTCTGTGCGGGTCCCGTCCCATGAGAGGGGGGAAGAACTGCGACAAGTAAGAGAGGGAGGGGAGGGCACGACTGCAATACAAGAAAACAGAAAAGTTAGCACCGCCCCTTATCGCCGCGCACTCTGCTGCGCGAGCCCGCCACTTGGCAAGCGGCGCTCGGAGATTTCTGGATATCGTGGCCTCTGGCCCCACCTCGGCACCAAGATACGTCCCCGAGCCTCGCATTCCGAAGCCCCCCCAATCCTGAGCCGCCCTGCGCAAGCACTCCCGCACTCTCGAGACGACTTCGGCATTGCAAGTGGCCCAGACGGGGATGGCAAGGCATTTCTTGGGTTTCAAATGGAGACCTGCGTATTCGGCAGCACGGAGGACCGTTTGAGGGCCTCACGCCCGGCGTCGAGGAGGCGGATCTCGCCCTGCGTTACGGCAAAATGGTTCCGGAGGGCGGGGAAGGAGTGCATCAGCTTCAGCATGAAACGCCACTGGCCGCGGATGTACGCGCGGCTAGCCGACCAGGACATCATGGCCTTGACCTTCGGATCCGCTGGGTTGCCGACAACCTCAAGGTCGCGGAGGCTGCTGGCAGCGTTCCGCAGCACCTTCGTCATGAGGGCGACCTGCGCAGGCGGTTCGTGGCGAAGTACGTCGACGTCCTGCAGCGTGGCGTTGACCAGGGGCTCGAACCTCGGGTCGGTGAAATAATGCTTGAGAATCGGTCGTGGGCGTTGCGGCCCTTTCGCCGCACCCAACATTTGCACGGAGATCAGGGCGTGGTCGCTGAGCTGCCGGTGGTGCATCTCGTCAGGTGGCAAAACCACGTGGGCGCCCTGCCAGGAGGCCGTCAGCATCCACGGCGGCATCCCCGTGAAGAGTCGGTCCAACCGCGACCGGACACCACTTTGGTAGTGGGTGGGCGCCCCATTGTGCAGCTCCGTGCACTCGCTCCACAGCCATAGCCATTCTCTCTTGGCTGCCGAGAGAGCGTGCCGAGAGGCACTGGCCTCGGCAATGGCCTCGGAGGGAATGCTCGGGTGCACAGCCTGCAGCTCTTCATCCGTTATGTTGAAGTCGCCGCCGACGATGACGAGGGAGTGTACGGGGTCGGCCGAGGCCTCGAGCAGGTCGGCCTGGATGTAGGCGGAGATGGCGGTCACGTCGTCTGCAGGGATATCCTGGTTGTGCACATTCCACAGAATCATTGACTCAGGCCCAGACTCTGCAGCGAGGTGAACGCGTAGGTCGCGACCGTAGTAAACTTCTTCAGGAGTAGCGGTCCAACCCGGCACCTTCGGGACGAAGGTAGTCACCCCGCCGCTGCTGCGCTGGTCCATGTAGGAGCCGAAGGCACTATACTGCACGTGCTGCTGGTGCAGGACATCACGCAGGAGGAGTTCGTGCCCATGGGACTCCTGGACCATGATGGTGTATTTCTTCAGGAAGTACTTGTAGAGGAACTTGAACTTGGCCTTGCGTTTGGCCGCGTCGTAGTGGAGGGGCGTGCGGGCATTCCACGACGCAACGGCCAGGCCCTCACAGCTGCCGCCGCAGGCGCGGCCGTATCTGCTAAAGCTGCCACTGCGCCTGTTGTACGTCGAGGCTTGGCCAGCGGCTCCAATTGCTCGCGCTGGAGCCCCGCTGCCCGGAGCCAGGGGAGGTTCCAGTAGATCTTGTGGGGGCCAGGGTTGGCAGGCTCGATGCGGACCAAGTGCTGGTTGTCCCGCGTGAGGGCCAGCTGCTCGCGGTCGACGTAGAACTTGCCTCCCAGGTTGCCCTCGAAGGCGCGTTTTGAGCTTGCGGAGGGCCGTCTCGCCTGAGATCTGGCGCTGGTTCTTGTCCACGCTGAGAAAAAGCGGGACGGTGCCTCCATTCCATTAGTGTTCTGGGCCTCGATGCGCTTCCAGCTCTTGTCATCGTTCTGCTGGCAGGCGAGGATGCGGCCGACGATTTTGCTAGCGTAGCCGACGGCGCCACGGACACGGAGCTTGAAGTAGGAGCCGAGTTCATCGCCCTCGTAGGTGTAGTCCCCCTCGGAAAACTGGGCCTCCTGGATAAGAGGCTGAAGGGCAGCCTGCACTCGTCCGAGAGGCACGTCTTTACGTCGCTCGGTGGTGATGACCACGACACACGGGTCAGGGACGCGCTCCCAGCCACGCGAAGTCGGTGCGACAGGGACGGCGGCGCTGGCCAGCCTGAGCCCCTCGCGGAGCTCGGCAATCTGCTGGTCGTGGGTGGCAAGCCCGTCATGGTGCTCCGCGATCCGCTGTACCTGCCCGTCGATGCAAAAGGACTGCGCCTCGTGCAAGGCCGTGAAGCGTGTATCCAGGTCCGAGGCGAGGCGCTCCATGACTCCGTTGAGCGTGTCCGTGGATGCGGCGATGAGGGCCCGGACATCAAGGTTGCCGTAAGGTGGAGGCGGCGGGGCCCGCTGCTGCCGCGGCGGAGGGCCAGCAGCTCCAGGGGGCGCGCCACGAGGTACTCCTGCAGCAAGTGCGGCTGGGGCAGGTCCCGCCTCACCTCCCGCGTCAGCGCGACCACCGCCGCCAGAACTCGCCCCAGCCCACGGGTCAGCACGCCCATGGAGCGGGTCCTCTGCCGCTGCGCGCGCACCCCGGCCTCCGCGGTCCTCTGCACTGCGGGGGCAACGGGCGCCTGTCGGCGTTGATGTCGCAGCTGCCGACGCCTCACTGCCAGAGGACCCATCCAGCTCCTCACTGCGGCTGCGATCCTCATGGCGCCACTCCCTGTCGTAGTGAGGGGGCGGGCGGTCGCGCGGGCCCCTGCGAGACTGGCGGGGCCGCCGGTCAGCGCCGCGAGGGGCGGAAGCGCCATCCATCGGCGTAAGTGTAAAAAGAAGTCTTGGTTCCGCTCGCGCACGACACGCGAGAGCGCCCACTGCGGCGGGCTACCCGCTCAATCGCTTGAGCCAAAATGGCAACGGAGGAGGAGGAGGAGGAGGAGGAGGAGGAGGAGGAGGCGAGGGAGGAGGAGGAAGCTACTATCGAGCCTTCTAGCATGGCCCGCCCCTTCTCACTTCCCCCCCGGGCTCGCCGCCGAGCAGAAGCAGCCAGCATCGAATTGGGAGATCGGGTCGGAAATCGGGACGTGTATAATCGGGCCGCATCGTCACGGGATCGAGATCGAATCGAATCGGTGGCGCAATGGATGCACCACAACAACGCCACGCGAGCGTCGGGCCGCATCAGATCGCCCGAAAATCGGAACCAAATCGAGTCGGGCTGGCCAGAGCCGGTATCAAATATCGGAATTGACACTGAACCGTGACCCCTGGGCCCGTCCTGGGGGACATTATACCGGGGAGGCGGGTCCGTCCGTGGCGAGGAGAATGCCCCAGGAGGCCAAACGAAAAGGCCCACGGGCGCCAACAAACATCGAACCTCAATTCTCGGTCCTCGATCGTCGTCGTCGTCGTCCTCCTCCTCCTCCTCCTCCTCCTCCTCCTCCTCCGCGTGCTCGTCCTCATCATCCACATCCCGGTCCAGGAGGGGGTGCGGGGAGCCATGGGGCCGTCCTCGGGGACGGACGAGACGGGAGGAATGGTGGGAGGGGAGAGGGGAAGAGAGGGAGGAAGGAGGAGAGAGAGAGAGAGAGAGAGAGAGAAAAAACAACACAAAATAGCACACAAAGAGAGAGGGAGAGAGAGGAACGAGAGAAATAGAGAGAGAGAGAGAGAGAGAGAGAGAGAAAAAAATAGCCGAGGAACCACAAACTGCATAAACCTAATTGCTCGGAAGTAAGAGCGGCGTTCTTGGGTCGTCGGTTAGCCACCCTCCCTTGCGCGCGGAGGGCGCATGTGGACGGCGCCAGAGGTGCCCCCAAAGGGGCCCAGCGCCGATCCAAGAAATCCGCGCGGACCTCAGAGGAAGTATGCTTATACAAATGCTGCGGCTCTTCGAGAGAGGAGCGAGAGTCGGTTACACGCAGGATTGGCCCTGGACAAGATCGGCCTTCTGTTTGCGGCTTTTGGTTTGAGCGGAGGGCCCAAACCGAGCGCCTAACCCGCTAGTATCGGATCGCATCTAGCCAGTGGGGGACCCCAGTGTGCAATTGTCAATCCGGCGAAAGATCACTCTTACGTGTAGCCGAGGGGAGGAGGAGGACGAGGTGGTGGTAGGACGCACACATGGGCACTGGTGCTGTGCTCGATGATGCAAGGCCTCTTTACACCAGAGACGCAGGCGAAATGGAAGACATGCCGGCCTCCTGGGGGGGAGCCGAAAGCCGAGAGAGGGAGGAGAGAAGAGGGAGGGAGGGAGGGAGGGGAGAAGAGGGAGGGAGAGGAGGGAGGAAGTTGCTTGCTCTTTGAGAACGAGCGAGAGGGAGGACAGGAGAGGAGGGAGGGAGGGAGGGTCCGCATCAGCGGACGCAGCAGCAGCGGGGAAAGCGCCGCGAGGGGCGGCAGCCGTGGCACGAGGAGGGCAGGGCCTGCGGCGGCAGGCCCCCTCCCCCAAAAGCTCCCTTAGGTGCGGGTTAATGGGGGGCGATCGCTGGGGGGGGGAGACAGGTGGCCTTTTCGGGCCCTGGAGGCCCACTTCTGGGCCCGAAAGGGCTCCTTCAGGGGCCCAGAGGGGCCCCTTCCTACAGCCGTCGCTGCCTCCCACCCCCACTCATCGCCCCCCCCCCCCCCCCCACACACACACACATTGCGCGCCCTCCAAATCCCACGCACGCACTTCCTTGTGGAAGCCCACTGGGATGGAGGCAGAGACGTCACGTCCACTGGGATGGCCGCGATTGTTGCTCGGGGGACCAGGGGTTATACAGCCGAAGTTTGATCAAGAACGTCACGATTCCCCAATCAGCATTTGCACTGAAAGGGTCCTAGTGGAGATTGAAAAATTTGGGCGGCCGGGTTCCCGGGTTCTCGGTTCCCAGATTCCCCGGTTCCGGTTCCAGGCCGATTTCAATGGGCGGCGGGATTCGGTGGGCGGCGGGGTTTTCGGGGTTCCAATTTTTGGGTCCCGGGCTCTAGGGTTCCCAGTCGATCCCACTATCGATGACATTATCGATCTCACCATCCACCTCATTCAGACGATCTCACGATCGATCCCGCAACCGATCTCACTCTCTGTATCACTATTACCATTATCGATACCACTGTCGATCACACGATTCATATCACCGCTGATTTTACCGAGGGTCGCACGAGAGATCGCACGAACGATCTCACGAGAGTTATAGAAGCCACCTGGAGGGCTATAAGGCCACAGTAGGGCTGCAAGTCCTGAGGCCAGGGCTTCCAGCTGCGCCTCGAGCAAACCGCAGGCAGCTGTCTTCAGCTGGTCAGGCCCCTATATGCCGCCACGCTGGTTCCGGGCAGGCAGCGCTGTCCGGCGGAAGGGGGCGAGGAGGGGAGAAGCAGGCAGACGACGAGGAACGCCCAGGCGGGAGGCCAGGGCCGGCGGGGCGGGCGGGCAGGCAGAAGACGGGCCAGGCGGAGACAGCAGGCAGGGAGCAGGAGGAAAGGAAAGGGAGGGAAGCAACGAGCAGAGGCGAAGGGAGTGGGAGGAGGGGGGGGGGACAAGGAGGAGAGAAAGCAGCGACCGCAAGCAGACAGGCCGGGCCAGGGGCCGGGAGAGAAGAGCCGCCCGCGACGAGGCTACGGACCCTACGGCGGCGACCTGGGCGGGGTGGCCGCCCGAACCCAGCGCGATGCGGCTTGGTGGGGATTGCCCTCTGCGGGATCCATCCACCGCCCCGCCGGGGAAGGGCCGGGCGGCGCGTGAGAGGGGTCGCCGGCGCGACGTTGGCGAAAGGGCGCGGGGGGCGCCCGTGCTGCCCAGCAAGGGTGGGGGGGGGTGGGCGGGGGGCGCTAGGCAGCGCAGGGGGCACCTCACACGGCGTCTGCCGTGGAGGCCGCCGTGGCCGCGGCCAGGCGGGCCGCTGCCACCCCCGCCCCTCCAGACAGGGTCTGAAAAAGCCGCAACACCGCCCGCGCGTTCTCCGTGTGCAGGGAGACGGAAAGTCGCTGGGCATGTTGGTCCGCAACCAGTGCGGCGTCTTCCCCCGTGGCGTCAGCCACCCGCTTGGCCAGGACCCCGAAGGCCCTGCGTGCCTCGCGGCCCCACCCGCCGCCGTGGGTTTCCACCACCATGGGGAGGAAAGTGAAGCCCTGTGCCGCGCAGAGCCGCGCGGTGTCCTGGTGTGTCCTGGTGTCACGATCGATCTCACGATCGCTCCCAGCATCGGTCTCACGACCGATGTCCTCATCGATGCCACTATCGACCTCACCAGCGATATTAGTATAATCCCCCTGTCGATCTCACGATCGATCTCACTTAATCGAACCGATATCTCCACCGATACCACTGACGAACACGCGACCGATCTCTCGATCGATTTCACGGTCGATCCCACTCAATCGATATCGCTGTCCATCTCGATCTCACGATCGATCCTGGTTTCGATATCGCTATCCACCTCCCTCAATCGAACTCACTACCAATCCCACGACCGATGTCACTATCGATCCCACTTTCGATCTCATTCAAGGGATCTCCGTATCGATCGCACTATCGATTTCACTATCGCTAGCATCACACTGCGCAACCTACAACATAGCACGGGACACCCGTACGCCACGGGACACCACGGGACACCACGGGGCACCACGGGACACCACGGGGCACTTTCGGGACACCAGCGGGACACCATCGGGACACCACAGGGCCACTGTTGGCCAACCTGGGGGACAGCAGCGTTTGGCTCGGCTTCGCCCTGGTAAGGCGACTTCATTCCTCTCGCCCGTCCACGCAGCTTCGCCTCGCCCGCGCGCGCGACACGAACGTGAATCCGAAACCAATATCCCAATGGGGGGATCTCCAGTTCACTGCGACCTTACCCCTCACTTCCGATATGTATAGAAAGAGGGAAAGAGATAGAGAGAGCGCAAAGAGAGAGAGAGAGAGAGAAACAAAAAAACAAGAGAGAGAGAGAGAGAGATAACCAAGCAACTATGGTATCCAACGAATAAGAGAAGCGGAGTATATATATATAGAGAGAGAGATAGAGAGAGAGAGAACAAAAAAAAAAAAGACATGAAAAGACAGCGCCTGTAGGCACGTGTATATACATCGGACGTGGGGGGGTGAGATCGAAAAGGAACGGAAAGCCCCCCACCGGGAAATCGGTTTCGGTTTCGTGTTCGTGCGTGCCGTGCGTGCGGGCGAGGCGAAGCTGCGGGCGACAGGAATGTCTCCTGCGGCTGAGGCGCGGCCGGACCAAATGATTCTCCCTCCGGCAAGCGGTGGCCCGCGGTGCCCCGCCGGTGTCCCGCTTGTGGCTGGGTCCCGGCCGGACCAAATAACTCTCCTTCTGGCAAGCGGTGGCCCGCAATGTCCCGCCAGTGTCCTGCCAGCGTCCCGCCGGTGTCCCGGTGTCCCGCTGGTGCGAAAACGATAGTGAGACCGATGACGAAATCGATTGTGAGATCGATCGTGAGATCGATTGTGAGACCGATCGTGAAGTCGATCGTGAGATCGATAATGAGATCGATAATGAGACGAATAGTGATACCGATTGTGAGATCGAGTGATATCGATAGGGAAAGCGATAGTGGGATCGATAGCGAGATCCAGAGTGAGATCGACAGTGAAATCGATCGAGTGAGATCGATAGTGAGATCAATCGAGTGCGATCGATAGTGGGATCGATGGTCCCAAGAGCGAGCGGCAACGCAACAATCACCACTGTTGCCCATTGCTGGCCCCCTCCCCCCCCCAACGCCCTTATCACCCGCAGGGTGGTCGTCGGAGGTGAGGGGGTGAGATCGAAGTGGAACGGAGAGCCCCCCTACCCGGAAATCGGTTTCG